AAGCACATTAACCCATAGCGCCACATTAGAGACACAATGCAGAACACTACAGCAGGAAAAACAGTCTCTCTGATAAAATTGTTGTTAAGTCAAGTAGGTTCTGACCCATAGTGACCCTATATAAGGTTTCCAAGAAACTACTGGTGAACTTGAACTGCTGACCTTGTGGTTCAAACTGACTTTGTAGTCCAGCGCGTTACAGCACCACATTAGGATGATGCTAATATCATGATGTAGTGTCCTGGTGTGGCGCTGTGGGCTAATGCGTCAGACTGCAAAGTCGTTTGAACTACAAAGTTGGTGGTTCAAGCTCACCAGCTGCTCCTTAGACTCTATACAGGGTTGCTATGAGTAGGAATTGACTCAACGGTACTTAACTAGTAGCTAGAAAGTTTTCTTGTATTGCTATCTTAAGAAAGTATCATCATGCTCTACAAATTGCTATAACAGCCATTTTGCATTTTTCATGCAACGAAGGCTACTATATTTGATAGAAATATAAGTTTTAATGCAAATGAATGGCACTCTCTAAATAATGAAATAGTGAAATCTTTTTTTTCCCTTGTTTTAACTTTATAGGTTTTTATAACAAGTAAAATATCTGAGTTAAAAAAATGTGTTTTGCATCTCTTCAACAAATAATTTATCAGGTGCATTTTTTATCCTAGTAAATACTTTGTAGGGTTTTTAATTCACAGTTTGAAACAATAAATTTCAAAATCACTTAAAGCCACCTTTTGGAAAGACTATTGATTGCTAAACTGGTAATTAAAATCTTAAGCTTTAAGTTGAGCCATTGGCACATAGACATGAATATATATTTCATATTCAGCACAAAATAATTTTTGTTAGATAGATGATTTTCTCATTTAATCTAAAAAACTACCCATAGAAAAAAACCTGAAGGTCAACAGTGGTCTAATTTGTGATTGGGGAAAAGTTCTGAGCAGCAAGAAAGAGGTTATCAACATGATAAGCAATGAGGGACTGTGGTTTAAATTTTGACATATAACAACATTCTGATATGTTAAGGTAACAAATGCTCCAAGTCCCTAACCTTCTCTGCTTGTTCTATACATTGTCCTTCAAAAAATTCATCCTTTTCCATTGGGTCCACCTATTGCTAGTATCTTGATGATTATCAAATTGCATCCCCCTCAATGGGATGCTGACTATCTGGTCTACTTGCAATTGTCTCCAAACATCTCCTACATGTCTCACAAACACTGACACTTAGCAAGTCTAAAATATTCCATGCAGGAAATCCCTTTGCTCAATTCTTCCCCCCAAATATGCTCCTCTTGTCCCTATCCCCTCATGGACATGGAGGCATCATCACAGATGATTGATTCAAGCTAGTAATGTTAGCATCATGTCCACATCAGCTACAGACAAGAGCAGTTTTCAATGGACAGTTCAACCAAGTTCAAATGAAGCATTTCTTAGAAGAATTCTAACAGGAGATGAAACATGGTTTTACCAGTATGATCCCGAAGACAAAGCACCATCAAGGAATAGCTACCAAGAGGTGGAAATGATCCAGTCAAAGCAAAAGCTGACCGGTCAAAAGCAAAGGTCATGGCAACAAATTGTTTTGCAATGTTCAAGGCATTTTACTTGCTAACTTTCTGGAGGGTCAAAGAATGATATCATCATCTGATTATGAGAATGTTTTAAGAAAGTTAGCCAAAGCTTTAGCAGAAAAACTCACGGGAAAGTTTCACCAGAGAGTGCTTCTCTATCTACCACAATAAGGCTCTTGCTCTTTCCTCTCATCAAACCAGGGCAATTTTGCAAGAGTTTTAATGACAAATCATTAGGTCATTAATGTTGGTTATGTCATTGGATTTGTTTTAGAAAGATAGGAGCCAACTCTGCAGATAAATTAATCTGGCTCCTTCTGACTTCTTTTTGTTCTCTAATCTTAAAACGTCTTGAAAGGACGCCCAGTTTTCTTCAGTTATTAATGTAACAAAAGACTGCATTGACATAGTTGTATTCCCAGGAGCCTCAATTCTTTAGGGATCGCTTAAATGGTTGATATCATTGCTATCAAAAATACCTTGAACTTGATGGAAATGATGTTGATAAACAGTTTGTATTTTTTATATTTTAATTTCATTTTTCCATGAACATTTTGCAGACCCTCATATTGTGTACCTATCATCTTCACTGAGGAGTTCTGATGGTTAAGCTCTCAGTTGCTAACCAAAAGGTCAGTGGTTTGAACCCACCCATTGCTCAATGGGAGAAAAAATACCACAATCTGCTCCCATAAAGATGAGTCTTCGAAACCTTATTGGGCTGGTCTACTTTTTCCTAAAGGGTTACTACTGACTTGATGGTACTGGGTCTGGGATCATCTCCACTGCCAGAGCATCTGATCTGTTCAAGACGCTCACCTGCAGGGTTAGCTCCTACCTTTCTAAAGCAAATCCAACAACATAAACAACTCTCCTGCTATGCCACTCCTTTTTTCAGTGATTCTCAAAGTATGCTAACTGGTATTCTGGTAATTGGGTTACTATACAGAATTTCAAAATATTAAAGTTTTTCCACAAAGTTTTCTTTCTTTTTTTTTTTTTAAAGTTTTTATTAATGAATTGAGTGAAAGTTTACAGGGCAGATCATCAGTTTTACATTCAACAAATCATACACCTTGTTTCATTACAATGATTATAATCCCCTCC